AAGAGGGGACACATGTTGATGTAGAAGAGACATGAAGAAGAGGGGACACATGTTGATGTAGAAGAGACATGAAGAAGAGGGGACACATGTTGATGTAGAAGAGACATGAAGAAGAGGGGACACATGTTGATGTAGAAGAGACATGAAGAAGAGGGGACACATGTTGATGAAGAAGAGACATGAAGAAGAGGGGGACACATGTTGATGTAGAAGAGACATGAAGAGGGACACATTTGATAGAGAAATAGAGGGGACACATGTTGATGAAGAAGAGACATGAAGAAGAGGGGACACATGTTGATGTAGAAGAGACATGAAGAAGAGGGGACACATGTTGATGTAGAAGAGACATGAAGAAGAGGGGACACATGTTGATGTAGAAGAGACATGAAGAAGAGGGGACACATGTTGATGAAGAAGAGACATGAAGAAGGGGGGACACATGTTGATGTAGAAGAGACATGAAGAAGAGGGGACACATGTTGATGTAGAAGAGACATGAAGAAGAGGGGACACATGTTGATGAAGAAGAGACATGAAGAAGAGGGGACACATGTTGATGAAGAAGAGACATGAAGAAGAGGGGACACATGTTGATGAAGAAGAGACATGAAGAAGAGGGGACACATGTTGATGTAGAAGAGACATGAAGAAGAGGGGACACATGTTGATGAAGAAGAGACATGAAGAAGAGGGGACACATGTTGATGTAGAAGAGACATGAAGAAGAGGGGACACATGTTGATGTAGAAGAGACATGAAGAAGAGGGGACACATGTTGATGTAGAAGAGACATGAAGAAGAGGGGACACATGTTGATGAAGAAGAGACATGAAGAAGAGGGGACACATGTTGATGTAGAAGAGACATGAAGAAGAGGGGACACATGTTGATGTAGAAGAGACATGAAGAAGAGGGGACACATGTTGATGAAGAAGAGACATGAAGAAGAGGGGACACATGTTGATGTAGAAGAGACATGAGGAAGAGGGGACACATGTTGATGAAGAAGAGACATGAAGAAGAGGGGACACATGTTGATGTAGAAGAGACATGAAGAAGAGGGGACACATGTTGATGTAGAAGAGACATGAAGAAGAGGGGACACATGGTGATGTAGAAGAGACATGAAGAAGAGGGGACACATGTTGATGTAGAAGAGACATGAAGAAGAGGGGACACATGGTGATGTAGAAGAGACATGAAGAAGAGGGGACACATGGTGATGTAGAAGAGACATGAAGAAGAGGGGACACATGGTGATGTAGAAGAGACATGAAGAAGAGGGGACACATGGTGATGTAGAAGAGACATGAAGAAGAGGGGACACATGTTGATGTAGAAGAGACATGAGGAAGAGGGGACACATGTTGATGAAGAAGAGACATTAAGAAGAGGGGACACATGTTGATGTAGAAGAGACATGAGGAAGAGGGGACACATGTTGATGAAGAAGAGACATGAAGAAGAGGGGACACATGTTGATGTAGAAGAGACATGAAGAAGAGGGGACACATGTTGATGAAGAAGAGACATGAAGAAGAGGGGACACATGTTGATGAAGAAGAGACATGAAGAAGAGGGGACACATGTTGATGTAGAAGAGACATGAGGAAGAGGGGACACATGGTGATGTAGAAGAGACATGAAGAAGAGGGGACACATGTTGATGTAGAAGAGACATGAAGAAGAGGGGACACATGGTGATGTAGAAGAGACATGAAGAAGAGGGGACACATGGTGATGTAGAAGAGACATGAAGAAGAGGGGACACATGGTGATGTAGAAGAGACATGAAGAAGAGGGGACACATGGTGATGTAGAAGAGACATGAAGAAGAGGGGACACATGTTGATGTAGAAGAGACATTAAGAAGAGGGGACACATGTTGATGTAGAAGAGACATGAAGAAGAGGGGACACATGTTGATGAAGAAGAGACATGAAGAAGAGGGGACACGTGTTGATGTAGAAGAGACATGAAGAAGAGGGGACACATGTTGATGTAGAAGAGACATGAAGAAGAGGGGACACGTGTTGATGAAGTCAATTAAGATTGCTCTTTGATGCGCCGGTGAAGATGGCCGCATCGTCTTCGTGCTCCTCTCCAACTTTGCCCATTTTCGTATTTTGTACATATTTCTTTTACTTTTGCCGTTTTACTTTTAACATGGTTCGCAACATGCTAGCCGACCGCACCTACTCTGCCATACAATATAGCAGAGAGGAACTTCTCCAATTGCGAAACTTCGTGGACAATATTAACCCTCCGACAGACAATGGAGATTCACCATGGCTACCTGTTGCTGTTCTACCTGAGAGACGCAAGAAGAAGACAAAGCGAGGATGCCGGGCCGGGTTGCTGGTCAGACTAAGAAAACGTGAGAATCGGCCCCCTCTTCCGAGTATTCTTCTGGCTAATGTTCAATCCATTGAAAATAAGCTAGATGAACTCAGAAGCCGGATTGCTTTTCAACGGGACATTAAGAACTGTAACGTGTTAATTCTCACTGAGACTTGGCTCAACCCCGCTATCCCGGACTCCGCTATTGTCCCTGACGGATTCTCTATTTTTCGTCAGGACCGGACTGCAAACTCGGGGAAAAGTAAGGGAGGCGGTGTGTGTGTAATGACTAACAACAACTGGTGCTCAGATGTGAAGATTATTTCATCGGACTGTTCCGCACAGCTAGAGCACCTCATGATCTCATGTCGGGCCTTCCATCTGCCGAGGGAATTCACATCTGTTGTGATAACAGCAGTGTATATCCCGCCGCAGCCACTCGCCGACAACAACACGGCACTCGATCAGCTGTTTGGGTTTATTGATAAAACCGAGACTTCACGGCCAGATGCGGCGTTCGTTGTGGCCGGAGATTTCAACACCGCCAACATGAAGAAGGTTTTGCCAAAATATTACCAACACATCAACTTCCCGACGCGCGGGGGAAACATACTGGACCATGTTTATTCCCCTTTCCGGAATGGATATAAGGCTCTCCCTCGCCCTCCCTTCGGCAAATCAGACCATATCTCACTACTGTTGTTGCCTGCGTACAAGCAGAAACTTAAAAGGGACAGACCGATAACAAGGACAGTACAACGATGGAGCGAGGAGTCAGATTCAGCACTGCAGGATTGCTTTGCATCTACGGATTGGAGTGTGTTTGAGGACAATAACATCAACACACACACGGACACTGTCATCTGCTACATTGGGAAATGCATCGATGACGTGGTACCGAAGGTTTCTGTACGGACATTCCCAAATCAAAAGCCCTGGGTAAACGGTGAGGTGCGCGGCAAACTGAAAGCGCGCACTCTCGCGCACACAGCGGGAGATTTGGAGGAGTACAGGAAGTCTCGGTATGATCTCCGGAGAGCAATAAAAAATGCAAAGAGACAGTACAAAGACAAGGTGGAATCTGACTTCAAAGGCTGTAACACTAGGAATATGTGGGCGGGACTAAGGACAATGACTGACTACAAAGG